GTTCCATCTTGTGGCTATTAAGGGATACTCCAGTGGTGTTTAGCATAATCAAGCTATTGTAGTATAAAGATGCACTGTTCTATGATTTTCTCTCTGCTCATGTATGGAAAGTGTAGACAAGATAAGTTTCTTGACACCTCTTTGGCTAAAATCTTATCTTTATGCTAATGATGGTACTTAATAAAAAGACATGTCTCCGGGGAAGAAGATAGACATTTTACAGGCAGACATCTTCTTCACCGGTGATATGCTTCATAACTGAAGACTGTAGTCTGTCTTCATTTATCAGAGATCTCTCCCTGGTTTTCATGCAACTGCTACTTGGACTGGCTTCCAAGCAGGGTTCCCTGGGGAATTTCCCCACATACAGAATGGAGTCATGACCACCCAGAGACCTTTGGGTAGAGTGGGCGGCATATTAAATAAATAAATAAATAAACAAACAAACAAACATAAACGATGCAGAATTACCACACCCTCACAGAGGAATTCAAAGTTATTTCACCCAATTAAAAATCTCAGGATTCTACAGAATGGAGTCATGACGAACATACCTTCTAATTTTCATCATCCCACCTTTCTCGCGTGCAACTCCTCCCTTGGTGCGCACATGACTCCACACACCCCGAATGCATATGGGGTTCCATCGCAACTGAAATCAAACCAACTCCACAGAGGAGGAACGCTGCGTGGAGAGAGGCACAGTGGCGCACACACATGTCGCCATGCACATTAGAGGGATCCTTGGTCATGACCCTTAAATTATAATCAAAATTGCTATCATTTTATACAGGTGTATCATTTTGTACTCCATGGATTCCTACCAGTATACAGTTGGCTGGGAAACCTTGACAAGAGAAGGCCATCCTATCTGTAACCTTGCTTGTGATTTCTGCCTAGGCACCTGCTTGGACAACGCAGACAAACAGGGCTGTACGACAAGGTATCTGCACTATACAACACTCTACCTGTCACAGTGATACCCTCTACAATCTGGGATTTGTAGCTGAGCGAGGAACTTACAATTTCGCTTCAAGAGCTGTTGTACTGTGCCAAAGTTGCATTTTCCCTAGGACAGCTCCTGTTGCAATAACTTAGAACTAACCCAAATCTTACATAGATTGTATGGCAAGCTCTTAGATACGCATCGGGAATTGGCTACAAGCTCAAATGTTTTCTCTATCATTAAGACCTCCTGCATATCCCAAAACTATGTTGAAGTGAAAGCTTCTAGGCCAGATTTGCACACACTGAGATTCAGTCCATAGGGAGTCCTATCAAGAGAACACACCAGAAATGGTGGCATCTCACAACAACCCAGGTTGAAAGGTTCCTGTCTTCACACCAAGTGATCCATATTCTAGAGTCTAGAATAGGTTCCCGACCTCAGGTCCTCAGATATTCTTGGACTGCAACTCCCAGAAATCCTGGCCAGCAACAGCTAGAGATGAAGATTTATGGAAACGGCAAGCAGTAGTCCTAGCAGTGAAAAGGTACGGCAGAAATGCAATAAAGAATGGGCACTGCATTTCCTTATTGTTTATGCATGCCAGGATAAAGCATAGTGTCAAAATGGCTGCAAGTGAAGGAGTCACCAGCTGTATGACTCATCATGTGCTAGTCCTATGACTTGGCGCGTGGCAAGGAATATGAGCCATGGCTGCAAGTGAAGGAGTCACCAGCTGTATGGCTAGTCCTATGACTTGGCGTGTGGCAAGGAATATGAGCCACAAATCTTTAACAAGTGGCAATATACCAATGTGATTTATCCCATTGTGTTATTATCACTGTACCTAAGCAATAGGATTCCGGACGAAAAAATCTGTTAGGCAATAAGTTGGGGAAAGCTGGTCTACAATAACAGCAAATCTTGACAATCCTTCTCCTGCTTTCTAACTGTGAGAGTGCAGTGGCAGCAGAACTGGGAAGAATCCCATGATTTAGAGCACTGGTTCTTAACCTTGGGTTACTCAGGTGTTTTTGAACTGCAACTCCCAGAAACCCCAGCCAGCACAGCTGGTGGTGAAGGCTTCTGGGAGTTGCAGTCCAAAAACATCTGAATAAACCAAGGTTAAGAGCCACTGATTTAGAAAAGTAAGAGGACAGAAAAGCATCGAATAGGGTCACAGCTCTGCATCAGCTCCCTGCCTCTTGTTGTAGAAAATCTTCCTTACCTCTGAAGGGTACAAACCACTCAAAAACAACACACACAGACACACAATATCTGCTTCATTGGAAAATCGTCCAGAAAGAAATGGGATATGTAGGGGGCCACATCACAGGAGCGTCAGATGAGACAGGCTTAATGAGCGCTTTCCTACCTAGCATTTAGAAAAAGTACTTTGAAGGAAACGCCCAAGTGGCCATGCTACAAATTCTGGAAGCTGTAATCTACAAGTGGTCCTATTTCATAAGCTCTGAAGCGACCGGGTTGGGAAACACGTTCTTCTTAAACCACCAGAATGCTGCAGCCAGCATCGTGACCATGCTCAATGGAGGATTTGGTTAGCCAGATCTCTGCTTTCTCCCTTCTCTATGATTTTTTTCCCAGCTATACCCTTCCTCACAACATATTCAAAATGTTACATTGGGGGACTACAGCCGGCTGGGGATTCTGAGAGTTGTAATCCAAAAAAATTACATTTCCAAGTTTTGGTCTTGTCTACAGCAGTGGTTCTTAACTTTTGTTACTCGGATGCTTTTGAACTGCAACTCCCAGAAACCCCAGTCCGGACAGGTGGTGGTGAAGGCTTCTGGGAGTTGCAGTCCAAAACTCCTGAGTAACCCAAGGTTAAGAACCGGTGGTCTACAGCCTGGTGTTTATAGCTGGTAGGATAGCTGATTGATTGATTGATTGATTGATTGATTGATTGATTGATTGATTGATTGATTGGCTGCTTTTCTCCTGATTAGGGAACTCCAGGTGGCTCACTATATGAAAGAGATAGAATTTAAACCACAGTGAAATAAATGGAATTTAAAACCTCCTTGCAGTACCTCTTCCACACCCATGAGGTTTATTGATTTAGCCCAAGGACATCAAAATCCAAACTACACCCAAGGAAACTGAACGCTGCATCCTCAAGACAATTTAGAAGGCTTCACAGAGACCCACATCCATTTTGCATGTTTTCTTCTTGCTTGTCTTGTTAGAAAAGACCTGTGGGTCAATAAAATTCACCCAAAATCTTCTTCGGCTCCGCCTTTCCTCGGACTTTGCCCTAATACTTTCGGGTGCGTCTTTGCAGCCATAAAACAAATGAGAAGCTTTTATTTAAAAGAGAATTAATCAAAGGGGCTGTGATTATGATTTTCAGCACACAAGATCAAACTCAAGGTTTGCTTTAGCACACAAGCAGAAAATGTAGATGAACCCACTTGCGTGGCACTTGATAAACTAAAGACTTGCTATGTGTAAGTCTGTGTAACATATTTTTTAAAAAAATCATATTTATCCTCAGTTGATCAATGCCAAAAACTTTGCATGTATGAAAGTAACATTTGCTCTTGACTTCAACCTTGGCTATGTCACAGCAACCTGCTGACTATAAATGTGTGGATTATAATGCATTTTTTTATTAGAAGTCCAAGGTAAACTAGGCTTATAAGAGGAGCGCGCAGCTTCTATCCAAGTCCGTTTATGGCCACAGTAAATCTCAAAAAGATCAAACAGACATATTTATAGCCCTGTTCCAGTTGTTCATTTCAATTTGCACAAAGCCAAGGAGAGTCGCCTTGAAACTTAAAAAAAAAGAGACGCTCACAATTTTAAAATAAAAGTAAGATCTAACAATTCCCACTGAGCTTGGCATCTAAAGTGAAAAGTAAATAGGCACCAGGGGGAAAAATGCATGCAAATATTACTCAAGAGTGGTTGAAACATTGCAGCCGATCTATGGCAGCAGGCTTAATGTGTTAGATAAATGTCAGGAAGAGATTCCTGCATCTCAGAGCTTCCTATCTAACATTCATAAACACAAACATTTTAAACACAGTGTGACTGTAATTCAGAGCATCTGAAATCAGGTGGTCTAACTCAACATTGCCTCCCAAGGAGATACTTCAGCAGGGCTCGGCCACCAAGGATGGCTGGATAGGGATCTGGCTGCAGAGCCAGACGTTGGGAGTTCGATTCCCCCACTGTGCCTCCAGGGAGAAAAAGCCAGCCTGCGTAGCTTTGGGCCAGCTGCACAGTCCAAGAGCACCCCCCAGAAGAAGGGGAACGGTGAACCGCTTCTGAGTACTCTAGACCTAGAACATTGTGGGAAAAAAGTTGTCATGATTTGGGATGGATTGATGGCATATTATTAATAGGCTCGGTCTAGAGATCATTCAGGATGTTAGGAGGTCAAGGGAGGGGAGTCTGGGATTTTTGGCACCCCGTTCTAGCCTTATGACAATCAACGAGGATGCAATCAGGAGACTGGAAACCAAGCCCTAGGAGGAGAGACTGAAAGAACTCGGCATGTTTAGCCTTGAGAAAAGAAGACTGAAGGGGAGAGAGCACTTTTTAAAGACCTGAAAGGTAGCCGTACAGAGGAGGGGCAGGATCTGTTCTCGATCATCCCAGAGTACAGGACACGCCACAATGGGCTCAAGCTACAGGAAGTCAGATTTGGGCTGAATATCAAGGAAAACTTCTTAACTGTTAGAGCAGTATGATAATGAAACCCATGACCTTGGGAGGTGATGAGTGCTCCAACACCGGAGGCATTCAAGGGAAAACTGGACCACCACCTGTCCGATCTGCTTTGCTTTGGGTTCCTGCCTTGAGCAGGGGGTTGGACTCGATGGCCGTAGAGGCCCCTTCCAACTGCATCATTCTACGATCAACACTTCTGTCTGGCCCAAGAGGTACGGACACATGTTGCACATGGAAACCCTTGTCTGTGAATTGGTAAGCAATTTCCCCAATAACAATTTCTAGCCTCTTTGTGTCCTGCAACTCATCAAGCAAAGTCTAGCATCCAATCAAAGCAGGAACAAGACCTTTCTCTCACCTTGGCTAGTCGGCTCATCTGATCCTCGGAAAAGGTACTGCTGGTCCTCCCGGGAGTCTTGGTGGGCTCGGACCCATCCGCTTCCACATTGGGCCAGACTTTGAGGTCGTGCATCCCTTGGCGAAACATCCTGGAGAAGTTTCCGAGCAAGAGCAAAGGGTCGTACACACAGAACCACCACCTTACTGCTCAGCTGAATTTTGTCCCCCATCCCACACACACACACACCTAGCAACCTACATTTGTTTCCTTTTAGAACAGTGGACAGATCCAGACCAAATCCTGTTCCTTCATTCGGGCCTTGCTGAAAATGGCTTAAAAATACTTCTAGGAAGTTTGAGGGGGGGCAATTCTGCCATGGATAGCTCAGTGAGTTAGGTCTCTGGCTGTAGAGCCAGAGGTTGGGAGTTTGATTCCCCAACCTGCCTACTTGGCAGGGGGTGGACAGGACCATCCAGAGCATCCCTTCCAGGTCTGCAGTTCTAAAATGATTATGTTCTGAAGGGTCCCAGTACTTCTGTCTCCCCACTAAAAAGGCAGAAGATAACCTTAAAATATTTTCGAACACTAGATGGCATAAGAAAGCTTTGTCAGTATCTATCCCCTGCATTTTTGTTTTTAAAAAGATGGGCAGTGGGGGGGGCGGGGAGTTGTAACGAAGTTGATTCCCCAACTTGCCTATTTGGCAGGGGGTAGACAGGATGATCCAGAGCGACCCTTCCAGGTCTGCAGTTCTTCTGTCTCCCCACTAAAAAGGCAGAAGATAACCTTAAAATATTTTCGAACACTAGATGGCATAAGAAAGCTTTGTCAGTATCTATCCCCTGCATTTTTGTTTTTAAAAAGATGGGCAGTGGGGGGGGCGGGGAGTTGTAACTAGAGCAGGCACAGGCTTCTTAAGAGACCCCCCTAACCCTGACCTAACACCATGAAACAGCAGCAACACTTATTTTGATTAACAGTTCGTGGCTTCCCAGAGAAGCAAAAGGTGGCTACATAGATGGCTTGTTTTTTCTGCAGTTGGTTCATCGCATCTGGTAGCCACCTCCTGTATATCCCCAAGCATATTCAATCCATCCATCCATCAATCTCTCCCTCTCTCAGACATAATGATGGTGAGCTAAATCCAGAATCTCTCTCTCTCAGACGGACAGACAGACAGGCACATACAGACAAACAGACAGACAGATAAGACAGATAGATTCTGGATCTAGCTCACTATCATTATGTCAGTGATGGACTGAATGGAGGCAAAGAAATGGACGCTATTAGGAAAGCATTACCTACCCGTATTTCCCGAAAAGAGAGACGGTTGTTCCCCC